AGAGACAGACAGACTGTCTGGCAAAGTGACAGATGCAAGAAAAAAAAAAAAAAAAAAAAAAACACAGGGCAGCAAGTCTGATCAGAAGATGCAATCCTAGAAAAAAGCAGGAATTTTCTTGAAAACAGTAAAGAAAAAATATTGTCTCTTGCCCCACACTAAGCCAAACAGACAGTTTCATAGTTTCTAGGGTCGGAAGGGACCTGAGCAGATCATCTAGTCCGACCCCCTGCCACGGCAGGAAAGAGCACTGGGGTCAAACGACCCCAGCAAGGTGGTCATCCAACCTCCTCTTAAAAACCCCCAGGGTGGGAGCCTGCACCACCTCACTTGGAAGCTGGTTCCAGACTCTAGCCGCCCTGACCGTGAAGTATGCTCCCAGAGCTGGCATTAGATCAGATCCTTTCCTATTTGCTGAGATATGGATGGATGGCATATCCTTGAAGGGTTAAATCCTACAGCAGATGTAGAAAAAAAAAGAGGGCCAGAGAGCCAGTGGGTACTGGGGGGCTCTCTCTAAGATGCTCCATATCATGACTACCCACAAAGCATTTGGGGAAATTTCTCATCTGAAAGACACTCTACAAAAATAAATTGTAATTGAGTTTAATAATCTTCCGCTTTCCAGAAAGGGCCTGACAGATGCTGCCTGGTGCTCACTTCTGCCCCATTTCAAATATTTTTACCTTATTTGGATGAAATATATTATTTTTCTAATGAAAGGAGGTTTTCTTTTTTTTTCTTTTCCCTCCAAAGGGCTGCTTTCCCTCCGTCCAGCTGGTGCCTTTATTAGGTTAGCATTTGCTCCCTTTTGGGGACGGTAGTTTTTTTTCCCTGAGCCGAGGAAGCCCATGCCAGCCCCTCCATCCACAAAGCGCACACACAGCTCAGCTCCCACCGCACCCCTCAGCAAACTGGGTGCATTTATAATTTTGCCACAGTGCAGGTTAAGAGCCAGGGCTAGGCTCCCATGGCTACTGATGCAGGTAGCCTGATGCATGTATGCTGGGCAAATGCCTGGGGAGGCAGCGTGGTCTAGCTAGCAGGGCACCAACCTGAGCGTGCGGGGAGCCTGGTTCTGGTCTCAGCTCTGCATTGGGACCGCAGGCAAGTAATTTGCCTTCCCTGTGCCTGTTTCCTCTCCCAACTTTGCTCTGCCTTCCCCGTTCACACCGTCAGCTCCTCAGGCAGGAGCCATCTTAGTCGGTGCTCACATGGCACCCAGCACTAGGAAGGGGGTCTTACATCTCAAGACGGGGCCCAGCCACGATTGACACCACTGTTGGGTGCGTGAGTCAGGACCGGCTCCAGCTTGAGCGGGTACAAAGCAAAGTCACGCGATGGGGGGGCTCCTACCTGCCAGCAGCACGGACAATATCAAGGGCGGATCCACAGGCTGCCGGCACCTGAGGGAGCAGGATTCAGGGCCTTATTCAGCCGTACCCTCAGGTCTGCACAGCTGCACCAGCACTGCTGCAAAACCACTGCTCCCAAGCCCCTGCAGCCTTTTACTGACGGCACAGAGTAAAAACAGGCTGAGCTCAATGTCTGGGCTGGATGCTGGCATCTCCCACACCTCGACCAGACTCCTTGGGCACAGGACCCCAGGAGGCACAGGTTACTCACCTGCATGGGGCTCATTCCCAGCTCCAGGTGGTCCTCCTGGCTGTATGGCCACGGCTCCCTGAAGGTATCCCAGAATGCAGTGCTCTCTGCCATCACACACCAGAGCTGGCCGCACTGGGGCCCGCCTGGTCTCCACAGGGCTTGGGGCAGGGCGGGGAAATGCAGCGGGACTTCCAGGCACTTAATCCTTGGGTAGGCAGCAGAGGCAGCAAGTGGCAGCAGGTCCGGGATGGCGGACCACAAGCTCTGCCATACTAGAGAGTTCCAGGTGCAGAAAGGCATGGTGGGGAAAAAAATGGTCCTCCCAGACAGGAGCTGTGCGCTTGGGTGGGTGAGGAGCCAGGCAGCCCCCTCCTGCACCACCGTTCAGCGCCTTTACTCTGGCGTGCTGCATGGAGCTGCATGGCCTGGGTGGAAATCTGGGCCTGATTCCCAAGTTTGCCTTCCTCTGGCAGTTTATTTTAAGCCTCACCAGACCCCTTGGTGTTGGTTGGTACAGTGCAGAGAGGTCAAGTGAGTCAGCCAAGGTCATGTAGCCAGGCAGGATGAGGCCCCACAGAGCCCATCCCTGTGTCCCTAGCCCAAATATCCTGGGTTGTGCTCTAGAAAGGTACACAATGGAAAATGCTGATTGTTCCCAAGAATGTGGGAATTTACCCTTCTCCAGCAGTCCTTGGGGAAAGAGGGGCCACAATCAGTCCCCGTCCCAACCCTGGCAAAGTGGCTCGCATTTAGCTTTTAGCCTGGCCCTGTATTCTGAGGGCACAGAGCCAGGTTCACTTGCCAGCCAGGGTTGGGTCAAATGAAGATGATTTGGAGAGGTCCCTCTCCATATGCCTCCCACCTTGGCCTGTATCCAGAGGTGCCCTGGCATCAGAACTGCTGCTCATGGACACTGGATTATGAGCTCTTATGTCTTCATGTTGCCTGACAGCAGCAGGCTGTCTCCATCTGCTCTGGCGTGGTCCATGGTGTTTCAGGGGGAGGAAGGCCTAAAGCAGTGAATCTCTCTCTGCCAGCTTCATCTCCTCCTTCCCGACATTCGCTCTCCACCTGCCTCCCTCCTTCGTGTCCCCTCCTGCCTTTGCAGTTTTTTTCTTTGGTGTCCCTTAAGGTTGGAACAATCAACGTATTCACCTAATACAAACCTCCCTCCTCAGGCCACCAGGGAACCTGCTACTTACCATCCTCACCTACCACTCCACTCCTTCAGCTCCACAGTGGGTCTCCTGAGGTGCAAGGGACCCATCAGTCTTTTGGCACAACTGTCAGTCTCCTGTATAATGGCAAAAATGCCCATAAACAGCCACGTATGCCACGGTCTGATTAATCAATCACACGCTAACAGAGGAACAAAGGGTCCTGCTACTTCAGAAGGCACCCAGCATCCAGGGGATGGTTTTACTGCACAGTAGTCTGGTAGAATAGGGGGCTCTTGATGTAGTAACTCCACCCTGATAGACAGACAGAGAAGGGTGTCATCTCCCTTGCCCTGCAGGGAAAAGGATCCCTGCTCACCAATCTTTCAGCTAGTGCGATGGTGTTCCCAGCACATACTGGCCACTGCCCCAGAGCTACTGATTTAAGAAGCTAGGTTCCACCTGGGATGGGGGGCAGAAAGGAGGGAAGAATTATGAATTAAAGGACAAGCTCAGCTCAGGACTAAAATACTGATCCCTGCAGCAGCGGCTACAGAATCCCAAGCCAAGGCAATGAGGGAAAGCCCGTTTCCATCACTGTCCCTTTGCCCTTGGTCTGGTCATCAATATTTTCGTTATGAGATTGTTGTGGAAAGCAAAGACAGGATGGGAAACGCACGGGAACTAAGCCCCCAGGACTCTCGGAAATACCTGCTGGCAATTAGGCCCAGCTTTCTCAGAACTCCCTGCTGGTGTGCTGGGTCCCTTCAGCTAGCACCTGTAAGTGAATAAACACAGTATCAGCAGCACAATCTCAGGGTTACTTTTCCTGAGCAAGCCAGAGTTTTGATCTGGCCTGCGGGGTAGGGGACAGGGAAGCTGTGACTTCCCCGAGCAGGAAGGGTTGCAAGAGCAGGAAGGTTTGGAAGAGAAGGAAAAAAAAAAAAAAAAAAAAAAAAAAAAAAAAAAA